GGCCCCCTAAGGTCTCAGGAAGGATTTACAGTCAGCCCTTGGATGTGTGTTAAATTACAAGCCTGCCCCTCAGGCTGCAGCTATGAAGATAGCTACCAGGCCTCTTTCACAGAAAGATCGAGCTCCTGGGTCCATAACTGCCTGCTGCGCCCTGGGGTGGGAGCTGTTTAAGATCTCTTTCTCTGTTGGTTACAGTCCTGTGGGATTTAGAGCACAAGCCCTTCTGGCCACCAGAGCCAGGTGACGCAGAGGTGTCCGCTGGCAGCGGCACAAAAATCAGGGCACCAGACAAGGGTCTAAGCTCCCTTCTGGAAGATGCCAGTGAAGCAGCTTAACTCTTGAAACTGATAAATGTATTACAAGTATCTTCCAGGCCAACCAATCTAATCAATGGCACAAGGCAATTCTTTCAACTTAAGAATGTTCTTAAGGAATTTACTCATTTACTTACAAGTTCACTGTAAGAACCGGCACCATGTCAAACAGTATCTGAGATCCAGTAATCTCATCTTATTTTTGCTACTGTTCCTGCTGAAGGTGTTAAAGTCTCAACCACGATGGCTACTCCTGTCCAAAACACTCAACACCTTGACTGGCTCAACAAACACTGCTCTGATGTGTGACAGCCCCCATCGAGGGCATCACACAGGCAAAACCCCAACCCAGGCACACTTCACTTATCAGGAATCAGCTATCTGGTGACATCGGGTCTTCACAGAACCCAGTGAGAGCCAAGCAGAGGAGTTAGGAGCTGTCAAAGTACATGCTGAAGTCCGTGTACTAAAGCACATGCACTTCACTTAGAGGAGAGGCTGCCAGGCTTTTACTGCAACACTAGTTCTTCTTATTTTAAGCACAACAAATTTGGTGAGCAATTTCCCAGGCATCAGCATATTAGGAGAAGAAAATTAAGAGGTCTAAGAAAGCTAAAAAAAAGCAGACACAGGCAGAACGGCAAGAAAAGAAAGATGACACCCAAAGGTGAAACACCAAAACTACAAAACTAGGGGGTATGTGCTTAAGGAGCAAGAATTCTCTATATTTGAATTATGACACCATACAGAAATTAATGGTTATAATTATGACCCTGGATCATCAAAAACAAAAATAAAAAAACCAAGTTAAACTACTTTAGATCTAAAAGGTTCAAAGAAAGTAGATGACAGAACTTTAAAAAAGAAATAATTAAAAATTAAGTATTACATGTATAAAGAGTCAACTTTCTACCATTTACAGAATAAACTTTTTTTGAAATATACCATTCCCAAATAACACCAAGCATGTAACCCCAAGTTACTAACCACTTCTGTGACTACAGGTCCCACCATAATTATGATACACACACATCGAATCTGAAACAAAGCCTGGAGCCGCTGGTCACAGCTTATTGGTGGGAACACTATCACACACACCTCACCTCGGACACCATCTCCCAGGCTGCCCACCACTCTGTAACAGACCTCCACGGAGCCTCACCACCACACTGCCTTCAGGGGGCCTGGCGTGAAACTGGCTCATATGCGAGACTCTCTCAGGAGTTTTTATGACACTTTAGTAACTGTATGTGATGGGGTTTAGAGAGCACAGTAGAGGGAAAAGAACATCCACGGGCACTGGGTACACACAGCCCAGGTCTGAATCCCTGCTTTGTCAATTACCCATCGTGTCCCTGCAGCACATCATTTACGCTCGGAGACTGACTGTCTTCATGTGGAAAATGGGAATAATGTCATCAACTTTGCTTCCTGTGAGGAATAAATGAGACAATATATTCAAGACATCAATGTAAGTTTTCAAAAAACCAGCTATTATGATTATCAGATGGGAATAAGGAAAGGAAACTATCTTAATCCATGCTAGGACAAATTTTGTGAAATTGTGGGCTATATTAATGACAATAATTAAAGAAGAAATGTCTAAAGAAAAGGGCAGGCAGGCTGACATGATGGGAAACTGCTCCACATTCCGCAATCAGGTAGATGCCCTCTGACTCACAGGTTGCTTCAAGGGAAGGTAGGTCAAAGCGGGGACTCATAAGAAAAGTATACACATACACTGCAAAGACAATAACCTAAAGCAGTTAATGCAAATACTCTGATAAAAGGCCAGGCCTTCTCGCCGAGGAGAAGCCAGAGCTCTGCACCATCTCCGTACGGAAACATGACCCACACCGCAACGTCTGGGATTGCCAGGGTCAGGCGCTGCACAGCAGAACAAGAACAGAAAGACATTTGGAAAGCAATTCCTTCCACGTTTGTATGATTTCCGGCACCCCCCCCAATCTTTATAGTTTTCTTGCTAAAACTAATTCAATAGCAACTTCATTTAAAAAAAGAAAAAAATCTCTTATTTATAGAATCTTTCCAAAACATTAAAATTACCTTCCATAACAACAAAAACCCATGAAAGAAACATCATAAACAAAATTCCATACACAAATATAAAGAAATAGGTATGTCACTGGCATTTGCAATTTATAATAAACTTGACTGTGCAGGTGAAATGTTCCTATCTCAGCAGATGTATGTGAAACACGCGTTTTTATAGAGTTCATACCTGGTGCTCCGGCTGCGTGTCAGGTCATAAGAACAAGGGTAGCCACTGCAAGGGGGAAGCACCTGCCAGCGTGAGCAACAGCCTACTAACCACAAGGAGGAGACCAGGGAAGCTATTCGTGTAAAATAAAACAGTACTTCATTTTTAAATTACCAATACATTTTCTTCTTTTGAAATCCAACATGTTGTTTTTGAGATTTCTTTTTATTGCGGTAACACTGGTTTATAACATTATACAAATTTCAGGTGTACCTCATCATATTTCAGTTTCTGTGCAGACTACGTCAGGTTCACCACCCAAAGACTAATTACCCGTCACCGTCCACATGGGTCCTGTCACCCTTTCGCCCTCCTCCCTCCCCGCTTGCCCTCTGGTAAGCACCAGTACCGACACATGTCCTATTAATGACAAACGATCTGTTACAGCTCCTGCTGAAGCACCCAAGAGCTCAGGATGCCTCTCTTGAAGCATAACTTTAGTGCCACGTATCTTCACACCCGCATCACCCTCCTCAACAGGAATTCTTGAGGGACGCCATCATTAGTTCATGAAGACCCCGTCACCAGGATTTCAAGAACAACAATCACAGTAGTAGCATACGGTTACTATACCAGTTGCTGTTCTAAATCTTTACAGACACTATCTAATTTAATCCTTTCAACAATTTAGTACACAGTAGATACAGATTACAGTCTTAAAATCTGAATTGACAGACATCCTACTTAGATATTTCTTTACACCTTACCATTTTTGACTAATCTTGTATGTTACTTGATAGAGTAAGGCAGTCACGCCTGAGCCAGTGTCTCTCACGGCAGGCAGCGTAAAAAGTCCACTTTCTCTTCCAGGTATGCCCTGATTTATACCACCCGCCACACTAAGACAGAATACAGCTTCTGAGGATCTGAGGCGGTGGTGGACTGGAGCCAGACGGCACCAGCTAGGGAGAGCTGACTGCACACGTGGTCCCTACTCCACATTCAGTAATGTCACATTGGAAACCTCAACTTGGCCATGGTGGGAATATTTTATGCCACAGAAAAAGGCAAATCAGGGCATTTTTTTTTTCTTCTTCTTCTCCCCAAAGCCCCCAGGTATATAGTTGTATATTTTTAGCTATGGGTCCTTCTAGTTGTGGCATGTGGGATGCCACCTCAGCGTGGCCTGATGAGCGGTGCCATGTCTGTGCCCAGGATCTGAACTGGCGAAACCCTGGGCCGCCAAAGCGAAGCGTGAGAACTTAACCACTCAGCCATGGGGCCAGCCCCAAATCAGGGTTTTTTTTTTAGCGGAGAGCTGGCTGTTAAACACTTACCCACACATCACTGCTCTGAGGAAATGTGTGTTTCTGTTACATCTGTCAGGCCCTAGTCAGCCTCAGGGAGATGAGCTCACGGCTCCTAACTGGGTGAGCCCAGCTATTGACTGGACCTTTGGAGGTCCAGAGCCGTCAGGAGGGAGGCAACCCACTCTCGTAACTAATCGCTTAGGTCTGCAACAGACTCTTCATTTCTACAACACGGCTCATTCTTAAACATCACAAACTTCTTAACCATGTCACCCATCCTACCTAAGACGCCAGTGATTATTAGATTCACCATCATTTTCTGTACTATTAAGAAGAAAAAGTACTGCCAATTAAATTGATATACCATCAACTGTAAGATGCATCCTGATACCAGAAATATTAAAATCTAAAAAAATGTGCACTTTAAAAATGGATTGATGGCAAAAAAATCATTTCCATCATGTTTGCTGTTGTCTTCAATCTCAGAATCTTAGTTCAACATCTCCTCTCACTCTTGAGATTCTACTCGTAAATCTCCCCCCTTCATGGTTTCCCCAATGCAGATTTATATTCACAAATATCTTTATCTACACAGTCTATAAACAGAATGAATTCTGTTTATACGAAATCATATAATAAGAAAAATAATAATCCTGAGAATAGATGTAACATAATACGGAAAGAAAATAATAAAGCATCGGAATTAGGTGGAGTGAGAGGAAGGAGCGTGAAGAAGTGGAAAGAGGAGCTTCTCTGAGAAGGGAAAGCGACTGTGGGACAAGGCGGCGATAAGGGCTGCTGGAAAAGGGCCTGAGCAGCACCTCCTCCTACAAAGCTGGTTTTCCCCTCCTGGTGCGGAGCGGCTGAACAGCAGGATGAACACTCACATCCTCCCCAAAACTGCCCTTAGTGCTTTGAGAAGACATGAACCTGGCCTAACTCGACTAACAAGTATTTTTTTTTTAAAGATTTTATTTTTCCCTTTTCTCCCCAAAGCCCCCCAGTACATAGTTGTATATTTCTAGCTGCGGGTCCTTCTAGTTGTGGCATGTGGGACGCCGCCTCGGCATGGCCTGACGAGCGGTGCCATGTCCACGCCCAGGATCCGAACCATCGAAACCCTGGGCCGCCGAAGCGGAGCGCACGAACTCAACCACTTGGCCATGGGGCCGGCCCCTAACAAAGTATTTTTTAAGCACTTCAGCTTCTTCTTCTAGTACTGTTATCAAAAGAAATAAGTATCTTTTCAAAAATCGCCTAGGTGCACTAACACTCTCGAGGTATCCCAACTTCTCTAAACACCCTCAAAGTGTTTGGAAGGGCTGCTACTTACTCTCCGTCTACTTCCGGTCTTCTACACACACAGTGGAACTTGCCGCCAAAATCTATATACAGATCATTCTCCACGATATGAAAGATCCGTCCAATGACCAGTTTATCCTTGGCAGGTCCCATCTGTGTCAGAGGAGAGTGTCTCAGCATAGACGCGAAGGATTCCACATTTTTCAGAGAGCCCTAAGTGTGAAAAGAGATATTTATATGCATATAATTCAATATAAGGGTATAATACGGTAGGTATAATAAAATCTTCCAGTGGAAATTTTTAAAAGTCAGCTTGCTCTACATTTCCATTGTATAGCAATAATAAAAAACACTGAAGTGGAATTTTGCTTTAAAAAGCCAGGTATGGGGGCCAGCCCTGTGGCGGAGTGGTTCAAGTACCACATGCTCCACTTCAGCCGCCTGAGGTCGTGGGTTCGGATCCCAGGTGCAGACCTACTACACTCACCAGCCATGCTGTGGCAGCATCCCACATACAAAGTGGAGGAAGACTGGCACAGATGTTAGCTCAGGCTAATCTTCCTTAAGCAAAAAAAAAGCGGAAGACTGGTAATGGATGTTAGCTGAGGGCCAATCTTCCTCATGAAAAAAAAAAAAAAGCCAGCCATGCTCTTCAACTTCCTCTTCCTCCCCTTCCTTCTTGAAGAGGAGCCAGAGAGAAGCAGGCATCTGCACTTGGTGGGGGATGGTGAAGACGCGGTGGCCCAGGGTGGAATCTGGAATCCAAGCAGGGTAAGGAGAGTGTCCTAGACAAGGCTTCCCAGCACGGGCGAGGGCGAGCAGGAGGGTGTCAGGTGTCAGAGTCAGAGCAAGAGGGGACGCTATTCTACAAGCAGCAGAGAATGAAGAGGTTTCTCATTAATGGGGTGACGGTACTTGTTCTTTGCTTTAAAAACAAAACTTCAGCAGCAGTATGCAAGATGGACCACAGAGAGGAAAAAAGTGGGAAGCTGGTAAAGCGTTGAGAAGCTCTTCCAATGAGCTGAGACAGAGATGACAAGGGCCGAGAGGAAGCAGTGGTCATAGGAATATGGAAGAACGGATGGAGAGCTGTGCACCAAATAGCACAGCAAGGACTTGACCGCCAGCTGACCATAGAAAGGCAGGTCAGAGGGGAGCCGGGGAGGGGCTGAAGAGCAGTGTCGGAGCAGAGTAAGTTAGTTTTGCACATGTGAGGTTTGCGATTCCCATCAAATTTCAGGGAACACTGGCTATCTGGCAGCTAGTTAAAAATAACATTGCACATAACATGGATGGACCTTGAGGGAATTATGTTAAGTGAAATAAGCCAGTTAGAGAAGGCTAATCTCTGTATGACTCCACTCATATGAGGAATTTAAAAATGTGGACAGAGAGAACAGATTAGTGGCTACCAGGGGAAAGGTGGGGTAGGGGGTGGGCACAAAGGGTGAAGGGGTGCACCTACAACACGAATGACCAACATTAATGTACAACTGAAATGTCACAAGATTGTAACCTATCATTAACTCAATGAAAAAAAAATAACATTGCACATACATACTTACACAAATTTACATGTTCACAGTGATACCATACAGAGATATAAACCCCTCAAGAGAAAGACATCAAATGCTCACTAGTAATTTCTGTGTAGAACTATTTTTTCCTTATATTAGTTATTACAGAACATCTAGAACATAAAGACTACATATTACTTTAAATTTTTAATACATATTAAGTATATATACACACATTATAGCTGTCATGCATAGGAGGACATTTAACACACAGCCTGGAACCGAGGCTCCCAGTGCTAAAGGAAACAGGAGCTGTCACCCGGTCAGCCGCCTCACGTCCCACCCGAGGACCAGACCTGCCACTCAAAGCTCATGACACACTGAACAGGTTCTTAAATACGAGTTGCCTCAGAAGACGGAAAGTAGATAGAAACATTGTTTAAAAACTTAAAAAGGAAGCCGGCCTGGTGGCGCTCGCTCCGCTTCGGGGGCTCTGGGTGGGCGGGTTCGGATCCCAGGAGTGAGCTACCCACCACTCATCAGGTGGTGCTGTCCAAAGTACAAAGTGGAGGAAGACTGGCACAGACATTAGCTCAGGGCCAATCTTCCTCATCCAAAAAAAAAAAAAAAACCCTTAAAATGAAGGAAACAATATAGCAGAATAAGAGAAATACTTAAGAAACCTGAGTTCTATGACCAGCTCAGCCATTAATAGCTAAAAAATCATGCATATGTCATTTAACCTCTCTGGATCTATCTTCGCATTTGTTACTAAAAAAAATTGGATACCTATAAATTTTTGTAGTAGGAATTCTTAAATACTCTAAAATATAAAAAGAATTTTATAAAGTAATAAATATTAAAAATGGAAGCCAATATCCTACTCAGCTTCCTCTTTTCATGCAAACAGTAACAACAAAAACAATGAAATGCTATATGTACTTTACTTCATATTAGCTAGCCAAAAAATTTCAACATGCATCTCTGATGAGTAATTATAAAGTGACTCCCTTTTATGAACCACGCTGCAACATCTTTTGTTTGCTCAACTCTAAGCAATATGCTATGCTCGTAACTATGTTCTTTTATGAAAATAAACAGATTAGCAGGTCGAGATGGCAGAGTGAGTACCTACATTTATCTCTTTCCCTCCTGGAATCCCATTAAATGATGGTAGAAGAATGAGTGAAGACATGACACACCCTCAGTATGGAAGAGAACAGAACGGAGACACAAAGCACACAAGAGATTTCAACACCTTTCCAGCAGACGGCAAGCATGGAAAGAGTGGGAATCAACGAAGCCGAGGGAAGGGAGTGCAGCTAACGATGCACGCAGAGGATGAAGCTGTGGAAGTCAGCCTCTGTCCTGAAGAAGCTCAGAAAGTGTGGGACTCAGCCACGCCAGGAACGAGAGAGAGTGGGAATGAGAGGAGAGGAAGAAAACAATGGGGATAATTAAAAGAATATACGCAGAGCAATTTTCCGTCAAGCACAGAATACCTGGCAGTGAGGCCAAGTGCACAATACTTAGTAATAAGGCACTTGTTGCCCTGGCAAATTAAATACTATACAATGTTTTTTCTCTAAAAAACATTTCTTTTGAACATGTTGTCTAGAGGAGAATAAAGTCTGGGATGGTGTGTTTTGCAGCAACAGGCAACTTACACACGCAGCAAAGACTCAAAATGACGGCTGTTCAGCAAGGCAGAGTGGGACTGGAGCGGGTGGCTCCTACTGGCAGGCTCTGCGGTCTGACAGCAGGTTGGTGTCCTGGCTCTAGCCCTCAGCAGCCCTGCGCGGGGGCACTGCACCTCGACTCTGTGCTGCCCCTTACTCAGCTAGGAAATGGGTCATAATTATACCTACTGTACAAGGTTGCTCTGAGGATTAAATAAATACATGCCCATATGCAAAGCCCTCAAACAGTGCCTCAGTAGGGCAAGCACTCCCCAAAACGAAGCTTTTTAAAGAACTAATCACAGGCCAGCCCCACGGCCTAGTGCTTAAATTTGGCGTGCTCTACTTTGGCGGCCCGGGTTTGCAGGGTCAGATCCCGGGTGTGGACCTACACCACTTGTCAGCCATGCTGTGGTGGCGACCCACCTATAATATAGAGGAAGACTGGCACAGATGTTGGCTCAGGGCTAATCTTCCTCAGCAAAAATAAATAAATAATTAAACAAAGTCAATAAACCAGTCACCAAAATACTTAAAAAACAATTAATCAATTTCTTATAGACCCAGTCACCACCAAGTTTTACTGACAAACCTAGTAGTTTTCAACCAGAGTGAGGTTGCACCCTGCTTCCCTCCTCCCCAGGGGACATTTGGAAATGTCTGGAAGCACATTTGCTTGTCATGACTGGGGGTGCTACTGGAATCTATCAGATAGGGGTCAGGGATGCTGTTAGACACCCCACAATGCACAGACCAGCCCCCACAACAAAGGATTATCTGGTTGAACACCCTGGACTAAGCGGACCCAGCAGCACACAGCAGGCCAGATCTAAGAGCAACGTAAGTCGCACAAGGGAGGTCTCGGATGGCAGGCAAGGCCAAAGGTCAAGGGAGTACAGGGTTCTGCACGATTCCAATGTCGGGAAGCGGGGATCCCCCACACCACCAATGAATTCTCTGATATCAGCTGGGTGTCCTACAATTCAACTCAGTTCTGACACTGTCTGCCCAGAGAGAGCATCCGATTCCACAGGCGAGGGCTCAGTCCCACAAGACTGCCCCACTTTAGATGCCACTCGCAAGCCCAGGTTGCCAGCTGTAGACGGGAGGAGGCTCCAAAGACCCACTCCTTGGATTCGATTAATTTGCTAGAGCAGCTGGGTGAGCTCAGAGAAACGCTTTGCTCGCTAGACTACCAGTTTATTACAAAAAGATATAACTCAGAAGCAGGTGTTTCCCACCAGATGGAAGACATGCACAGGGCAAGGCATGGGGAAAGGGCGCGGGGCTTCCACGCCCTCTCCCGGCACCACTTACCCACACCTCCACGTGTTCATCAGCCCCGAAGCTGTCCACCCCCGGTCCCCTTGGGTTTTCATGGAGGCTTCATTACTCAGACATGATTAATTAAATCATTAGCCGTTAGCCACTGATTCAACTTCTAGCCCCTCTCTGCTCCCAGGAGGTCAGGAGTGGGAATGACAGTTCCAACCCTCTAAGCACAGATTGGGTCCCCAGGTAACCAGCGTCCATCCTTAGGTTACCTGAGGGCTTTCCAAAAGTGCCTCATTAACAAGACAAAAGACACCTTTAATGCTCTTATCACAGGAAATTCCAGGGGTTTTAGGAGCTCTCTGCCAGCAACAGGGTTGGAGACAAATATATATTTCTTATTATAAATCACAGTATCAGAGGGAGTGAGATTCTAGGATATCAGAATGGCTGCCAAGTGGTTCCAGACTGGGTATGACAGAGGCAGACTCAGAAAAGAAGTTGACAGACTGATAGATCAAGGTGTGATTAAAGAACTGAGAACAGGACAAGGGTAAGACTGGTCCGAGAAAGGGCTTATGGGTCTGAGAACTGGAAGATAAGGCCATTCCAAGTGATAATGATATACAAATCATGGTATATCTGCAACTGAAGGGAAGCGGAAATAAAGGTCCTAGAATACGACACTGAAAAACTGTCAGCCAAGGTCGTGGTAAAGTCATCAATGTAAACGCGGAAGCCAAGG